AAGTGCATCGCTACTAGGAGCAAGTGCCTTACTAGTAGTAACAATGTTTGCTATTGGAAACAAGCAGTTGGCTGTGGGTCAAAACCAGGAGACCTTGCTTGACCTACCAACGTGACTTACGCTTCTTGTTCCTAATAGCTTCTTGTTCCTAGTAGTACGGCCAGGAGCCCCTAGTAGCGTCCTTGCTCCTAGTGGCGATGCCAGGAGCCCCTAGCATCAATGACTTGGCTGTGGGTCAAGACCCGGAGACCTTGGTTGACCTACCTGGAATGCCAAGATACATGGTGTTGGGGCGCCAAGTTTTGAGAGCCGCATTTGTTGATCTTCACGGGTCAAGAAACCAGCTAGTTTTTGCGTTTGGTTTGCTGGAGAGTAAAGCCCGAAGCAGCTGGAGGGATAACCAGCCAGCCATGTTGTTTTGATCACACAAGACAAGGAATCATGGTTCATCATGGTTCATTTGGCACGGCAATCATCGGTTCACTCCATTCCCTCAGTTCACCTGGACCTTCAGCAATCATCAAACAGCTTGGTAAGGTCTTGGTGTTCGACCACCGAGGTCTGAAATGCTGCTTTGGGGAATGGTGATATTCAACTCACAAGCAATCCCCATCAAGCGCTCTGAAGGCAAAACCATCCGATGTTTGAAGAGATTCACTTGTTTAATCTATGTCAAAACTGCTTTCCATGAGACTGCTACTGCTCCTATGCAGGTTCCATTTGTGATCCCACTTGTGGGATGTTTCACATGAGTATACGAAGAGGCTTTGCCTGTGTCATTTGCTCCTTTTGGTACCAGACTTTGAGCTGAGCTCGCTTCCTGATCAGCCAGTTGATTCGCTGCATGGACTGATGTCGATATTTTCCAATCGCGCGGCTGATCTTCCGCTTATTTCGAACAAGTCACCAAGTGCGCAGTGCAATGATTCCAACAAGTAGTTTCGTTTGGTTTATTGAACCCTTTGAGACTGGGAAATCACCCCTCAAGTGTAATTGAACCTGTTTGATCCTGTTTGAAATAGCCACATGTTTTCTGGACGTCTGACTTGTAAGTAGACGGCTGAAGCACAGGTCTTGCCTCCACAAAGAGGTCTGAAGAAGCCCTCAAATTTATATTATGCAGTAAGATGGATTTCAACAACTAGTAGCAAGAAGCTACTAGGCTGGAGGCCATCGCTACCAGGTTGGAGGCCATCGCTATTAGGTTGGAGGCCATCCCTTTTATTCTGGAGGCCATTCCTAGCACCTCTGCACATCTCTCCCTAGTTACTATATACTATATACTACTCTCAGAACTCTTGGCTCAAATCCCCAAGACGGTTTTTGGAAAGTCCCTAACCACCACTTGGTATTTGAGCCTAGAGTCCTTACGGGTTGTACATAGGTTCTTCTCGTTGAAACAAAACAGCTCAAGTTGAAGGCGAACCTCCCACCTAATCGTGATCACCCGTCCCCTTTAAGAGGGCAGTCACCTAGAGTCATGTGAGTTGGGCTGTGAGCCTTTGCTATATTGCCGCACAATCTCATACTATGTTTACCCACCAGTGTTGGGATTTGTTGAAAGTCCATGAGACAGGCAACTACTAGCTTCTTGCTACTAGTAGTAATGCAGCTGTTCAGTTGTTCCTAATAGCGATGCCGTTACAACTAGCTGATCTTCGTCCTCATCTCTTCTGTTTTCGCTTGGGAAACCACGTCATGGCGCACTGGCGACCCGCTCCGACTTGGAGGTCGTGTTGGCTTCCAAGCCGTCATGGCGCACGGCCCACGGCAGACGTCCGTAGGAGGCTCCGTGCGACCGTCCCACCGCGCGTGCCAGCGCACGCGCGGGGTGAACACCGCTGCCACGCGAGGAGGACCAGAGTGCCTTCGCGAAGCAAAGGCTGCAGAGGCCACCGAACAAGGAGTTTGTGGCAGTTGGCATGACTTTCTGGATGTTGAAATCCCCAGGAATGCTCCAGATGCGTGTGACACGTTGTAGATGTGTTGTGCTTCATCAATGGTTCATTTGGCACTGACGGTCATGGGCTTGAAGACCGCTCAAAAGTGTCCTCACCCTGCCGATATGTGTTGGAGGCAGAAAGGGCCCCCTTTTTCTCTTTGTCTTTCTTGTGGTTGTCGGAAATGACAGAGGTACGCAGAGATATGTAGGTCCACCGACACCTTCCGCGGACACCTTTATGCACTCCAACATGGAGGTTGACACGTTCGCCACATCACTGGAGCATCGTGTACAGTGTACAGTTTTGCCCTTGAATCTGGGGCGCTGCGGAGGTGGAATGGCCGGAATTCCAGTGACCCGCCTCAGCGCCATGTGAGGTAGCATGATGTGGCTTCTGCGCTAAGAGTCCTTTTTTCACCAACAATAGAACTCTGTTTATATCTGAAGGGTCTCAATCCGATATGGAAAGGCCGGTTTATTGAGATGCTTCATTCATGGCCTTCAGAAGCAACCAAAGAAAAAGACCTTGAGGCGTCTGCCTATAGACCCCAAACATCCCCAAACAGATCATCTTTGCTAACCACTTGCTAAATGTGATACATGTTTGGTGGCTGTGCCTGGGCTTGCCTCGGCTGTGCCTGAGTGAAGAACATGCAGGAATCCGACAGAAATACATTGCATACACAGCGTGAGTGAAACAGACTGGTAACTGCTGATGAATCAAAGGACATGTGTGACTTGTGACTTCTAACACGAGCAAGACTTTGCGGGCAGATGAACCAGTGACAGAGGAACTTCTGTTGGAATTCCGGCGACTCTTCTGGCCACTTCGCCTCCGCACCTCTCCACTTGACCACTGTCCAAAGCATTCCCGCTGAAAAGTGTGCTACTAAAGCGTCATGTCACACTTCAGAGAGGAAGTGTTTGATCGTTGGAGTTTGATGGGTTCCTGTTGCTGCTTGAGATTTTACTCGCTACCCTGTGTGCTGCGAGAAGGCAGGATATCCTTGGAGGAAAGTGTGCCACGAGTCATCATGACTCATCACGAGTCACCTGGTGATTCCGCAGCTTCTCGGATCGATCGAAAATCGGCATCGGAATGTTCTTGTAGCGTTGCAAAGGAACGGGGATCCAAAACAGTGGTGCATCATCATGAGGCTCGAAAGGAAAAGTCATGCCAATAAATTGGCCTACCATTTTTTGATTTTGGAGCCACAGGCAGTTCTGTTTGTCGTAAATTATCCTAGCACCTTGCAGCAGCGCCTTTGCAGTCCTGAAAGGGCTGCAACACATCCCAAACAATAATCAACCTCAAGAAGGCCTGACGTTGTTGAACCATGCGTCGGTGTATAGAAAGGCTTTAAGTAGCCCTATGTAAGCCAGAATATGCCAGAAGGGCTGCTTTTTCTGTTGCGGTTCATGAAGAAAGTTCTACGTGTGGCACGTTCTTTGAGTCCACTGGTGGCGCACAAACCAAGAAGGTCTGGCCTGACAAACCGATTATTGTTCCCATAGTTCGACTGAGTGAAGTCCTGCTTGACAGCCAGTCTTGCTAAAGTGAGTGTACGGATGTAGACACCAGCTTGCTTTGCTTGCTTTGGGCGAGGCATTGCAGTTGCGTCGGCCCCGGCTTCTTCTGGGTGTGCGATCCTTAGGCAGTGCCATTTCTGGGGTCCGTGTTGACTGTAAAGGGAAAGACGGAAAGGGAAAGCAAATTGAAAGAGGAGTAGTGCGTGACATGATGATCACAGGCAACAAACCACAAGCGCGGTACCTACTAGATTTGCGGGGAAGGTGCCAAGAGCAACTTGCAATCAGGATAACACTGGGAATGGACAACAACAGGGATAGAGCCAGCCGCGTAATGAAGAAGCTCGTGGAATTTTGAAGACAACCAGTTGCCGCACACAACATGTTTGCCGGTTGGTTTTGTGTCATGTTGTGTGTGTGTGTGTTGTATGTGTGTCTCTTTATGTTGTTTGAGATCTGCAGAAGTTGGGAGGTGGCTTGGCACCTACAAAGAAATGTCCGGAGCCAGTCGAACGGCAAAATCTCAATCAGGGAAAAAAAACATATATATATATATATATATATATATATGTCCTCGTGTTCCTCAAAAGGAGTCACCGCGCCAGCTAGACATACGTCAGAGAATAGACATGATGCGGAGGCCTTCACTATCATCACTACTCCACCTGTTCCCACCCATTTTGTTAGCTGTGTGGTTCGGGAACTCTTGTCTTCGCGGCAGTTTGGCTGCTTAGCTGTGCCCAGAAGCCAGAATTTAGATCACATTTAATTTTAGATAACCAACGTTTTGGATCATGCTTCCTGCTTTTCACGGCAGCATAGGGAGCCCCATACATGTTTAAGTTTATAGTCATCTTCTACAAATGAACTCTGAAGCACCATAAGAGCTTTCAGGAGTTCGCTGTTCGGGTGATGTGTACAGATGACCTCTGCTAAAAGCAACAAACAGGTTGATGTAATTAATTCCACAGACCCCTCTACACGGCTGCTCTGAAAGATTCTGAAAGACCAGAATTCACCTAATGCTGTGAGCCATTGGCGTCGACATCGTGTTTGCCATGGCAGACCTCGATGCGTTGAACGGCGATCATGCTGATGACGCGACCTGGGTTTTGACAAGCAGCTTCGTGATACTCACCATGCAGAGTGGCTTCGGCATGCTGGAGATGGGAAGTTCATCGAAAGGACATGAGGTAAACATTGTGCTGAAGAACATTTTCGATGTGGTTTGTGGAGCTCTGGCTTACTATTGTGTTGGATATGGCATTTCATATGGGTCGCCCTCCAATCCGTTCATGGGCACCGGCGACTATTTCATTGACACCAGCGACGAAGATCGCATAGGTTCTGGGCTGGTCCACAGCAAATACATTTTTCAATTCAGTCCCTTGGAGGCCCAGGAGCCTACACTTTTCCTTTTCTTCCCAAAGAGAATACGATGCAAACTCGCCTGTTATGAGAAGCATTTTGCCTTTTTCCAACTACGCAACCAGAGGTTTTGCAGCCACCTCTACAACCATTGTCAGTGGCTGTTTGGCCATGCGTTGTCGTCTCATAGTGTACTGCATCTTCTCCTTCTACGCAGTCATCGTCTATTCCTTCGTGGCGCATTGGATCTGGGAGGAGAATGGCTGGCTGCGAGCCATTGGAGTGCACGACTTCGCGGGAAGTGGAGCAGTCAGCCTTCTGGGTGCGATGAATGGTGCCTCTGGCCGTAAGAAAAGCTCCGTTCGTAGCGATGCCAGGAGCCCCGAACGTAGCTTCTTGTTACTACTAGTAAGGCACCTGTTTCTAGTAGCGTGGCACTTGTTCCTAGTAGCTTCTTGTTACTAGTAGCGATGCCAGGAGCCCCTAGTAGCTTCTTGTTCCTCTGCTGCCTTTTTTACACATTCTTTCTGCATTTTGCGGCCCCAGATATTCTATGTAGAAAAAACAGGAGAGCCCGGAGCATCGACTGATCCCCAAGTGATATATTTGGATGTTAGCATTCCTCCACCAGCTTTTTGGTAGAACCAGAAACACAGAAACAAACCATGACATGCCACGCAAGCCATAGCAAACACACCTTTTGGCAAAAAAACGGATACAAACTATAACACAAACTGCCGGATGCAACACCTTCTAAAAAGAATATGGTGCACTCGTAAGCCCGCACACACAAGAACCAATTTACGGGTATCCACGTGCAGACATGTTGTCAAATGGTACCCTGGCGCCCAAGAAGCACTGCTTTCGACAGACTCTTTAGATTAGCACCCTTGTTTGTTCTGGCAAACAACATCTTCCAGTACGTACTGACATCGAAGGGTCAGACGTCACACACCAACCGCCTGGCTCAAGCGGCCGAGGTCTCTTGGGGATCCTCTTCATCGGCCCGCGCCTGGGCCGCTTCGACGCCCAGCGGCCGCGCACGGACTTCGAACCCTCCTCGCCTCCAACGGTCTTGTTCGGGCTCTTCATGTGCCTTAGACGGCGGTGTGTGTACCGGGGCGATGTCTCTTTTTCTGTTTGGCATCCGGATGCCATCAAGGGAGTACTGGATGCACAACGATCCGCATGTACTGTAGCGAACATCTTCATGTGTCTAAGGTTTTGTAGGGAACAATTGTTCAAGGTTGAGAAGATTTATTCTGCGTGAGTGGCTGCTAAAGCTTGCACCCTTATGTTTATGGTTTGGGACGCACGGATTTTTCTGGCAACCAGTCCACTACACACCGGTCCAGGCACCAATTCGGCTGATTTTTGTGTGTTTGGCCAGCGATACGTGAAGCTTAGGGTTTTAGTTCATTTGTTGACCACCGTGTGTCATTCTCAGACCAGATGGTCGTGTCATTTTTGTGTTCGTTTGTGTCGGTTGTATGATAGCACTGTTTTTACGAGAAGATTTGACCCCGACAACGTTGGTCCTTCAACATAGTGGAGACAAACATCTTACTCAAAAGAGACAAAGGACTTTGGACTCCGCACTTTTGGAAGACATTGGACTCTTGGACCAGTTGTTTCGTCGGTCTGGTGCACGCACAATTTTGCTCGTTCCAGGCTCTTCCACGTGACCACATAATATGTCACGCATCTGTCCCAAACCGAAACAGTGTTTGTGAGCGAAGTGAGGTTGTGGTGGGGCTGGATTGGCTTCAACTGCGGCAGCTCCTTTGGCATCACCAAGAGCAAGTGGCTTGTGGCCACTCGCGCAGGGGTGGCCACCATCAACTCCACTGCAGGGGGGTGGCCTAGCAGCGCTGCTCTACACCAAGGGGAAGTCCAAGGGAAAGCTGGTTCTTCCACACGAAGTGGCCAATGGACTACTGGGAACCTTTGGATGGTTTGTATGGAATTCATCAACTGGGTTGCTGGATTTTCTGTTGTGGAAGCATCGAATCTATCTTTGAGTATGTTTGGGTATTATTATTGAATTTCAGCGTTGGAACGCTGGGTATTCGCAAGAATGGTGATGTGTTGGAGTATGATTGTTGCTCCGAACTATTCATGCCTGTGTTGTTGACCCGCCAACCCGAAGATTTGTCAACGAAACGAAACCGTTTGAAGCGTTCCGAAGGCATTTTGAGAAACACCCCAAACCCATGGCCTGCCGCTGCCCGCACAAAACGACACAAAAAGAATTAGAAGATCTGAGAATAACAACAAAGCTAATACATCAACCCTATACCAAAACAAACATGAAAAAAAACGAGGTAGAGAGCAGAAAGAAGGTGTTTGGGCCTCTAATTACAGCAAAGTGTCTCTCCAGTCCAGTCTTCCGATTCCAAGGAGCGCTTGTCTCCATCACTGCCACCTGTGCATGTGTTCATCCACACGACGCCTTGCTGATTGGCTTTGTGGGATCCATCACAGCGCTGGCGGCCAATGACTGGCCTCTCAGCGCAGCGCCGTTCGGCTTGGCGTCCGACCGCTCCAGACTCGTAGCGATGCCAGGAGCTCCGTTCGTAGCGTAAAGGTGTTTGGTTTGTGTACTGAAGTTGAAGGGACTGACAAAGCCCAGCCAACCAGTGTCTTCATGAATGATGTTTAAACAAGTGACAGAGACAAAGGGAATCCTGTTTGCTTTGTTGTGCACAGCAGGTTATCTATCGGAGTGCTGAAACTTTGACCATCAACAGTAAGATCTTTGCCATTTGTCTGGCTTCCCCGCGCCTTGAACACACCATGACCCTTATGAATGCATATATCTTAGAACCAATGTTTATGGCAAGGCAACAAATCTGCCAAGGAAACATTATGACATTATGAATCGATTTGGAAAAAACTGTGCAGATGGGGCATGGCTCCAGAATCTGTCAATCTGTCACGTATGACCTGGTTGGAGAAGTGATAATTTCATGTGTCACCTTTCGTTGATGCGGGTATATGTGGAGCATTGCCTCTATGTTATGCCGAAGTGATTTGTCCACATGGATTTGCAATGGTCTATCAAAGCACTTAAAACCAGCATCCAATTTCAAGTGATTGTCTAGACTTCAAGATTTCCCAGGCGCAACTCAAGCTATTACTGTATGGGTTTGGATGGGTTTCGCCCCAACCTGAACTGAAATGTCCTTCCTTGGCTTGAAGCCGCTGGAAACACGCCTGGTGTCCGGGACCCACCCATTCAAACGTGTGGAAACCACTTATTAAAGCTTGGCTCAAGAATGCAGAAGACGAACATGGGTTCTGGTGATGATACCTGTGGATCCCCCTCCACATCTATACAAGTGCAAAGCTCCAGCGGCGAAGATGCTTGCCAATTGCATGCTTTGTCACAACATTGAAAAATGAAGAAGCGACATGCCTAGGCCGCAAAAACAAGATAATTACCAAACACCAGTCCAAACACCCTGCTGATGATGTAAAGAAAACTTGCATCCCCTGGATTCGGTTGCTGTTGAGCATTGAGAAATAATTAGATCATAATCATTCTAATAAAATCAACATGTATGAACGGTATGGTCGCTCCAAAGAGAAGGCTCTCAACACTGGCTCTCTCCAGCTCCGTGTCTCCTTCTTCGGTCGCGAGGCTGTTGAAGCTCCACATCGACGACCCGGTGGGCGCCGTGGGCGTCCACGGCGCCTCCGCCGTTTGGGGCCTCCTGGCGGTCGGCCTCTTCGCAGATGGTGAGCTGCCAGGCGGGTTGGGGGTGGGGGTTGGAAGAAGTGGAGCTAGAGAAAAAGAAAGAGAGAGAGAGAGAGAGAAAGAGAGAGAGAGAGAGAGCGAGAGCGAGAGCGAGCGCGAGGTGGGGTGGGGTGGTGAGTGCTGGTGACATTTGGTGACCTTTGGGGGCACACACTGTTACAAACTCTATGGTCACATAATATGGCCGCTTCCGCCAAACAGACCCATGAACTACGGCGATGACATGGAAACATCATGACATGGTGTATGTGCTAATCACTATGGACAGCAAAACAAAGACATGCAACAGGGCAAGGGGTTCTTGCAGTAGACTCCTTTGATCCACTGGTGGATTGACCGTGATTGCTTCAATGGATGGCAGGTGAGTTGTAGACGGGATGTGACATGATGTAACACAGAATGTGTGACCTTTGCCTTTTCAAGGCAAAGTGGTCAAGGGACAGTACGAACCTGGCTAGTGGGCGCACTTCCAACAGTCTTCCCAAAAGGGGCCTCCGCGGCCTTGGTCCCAAGCTTTATGGTGCAAGGTAGGGCAAAAAAAACAGAACGTATCAATGCTACGAACTTTTCTTCCATTCCTTTAAGTCTTCCTCCTCCAATATTGGAATCGCATGTTCTTTGCATAATTACTTGTTCGGGGTCCGTGGAAAAAGCAATCCCGACGTATATGTTCCCAGACATGCAGTGACCAGATGACCTTGGTATCTTTGGCTCGTCCCGGAAACGGGAAACGAGGAATCGACGTGGAGAACGGGCTCTTCCGGGGCGGTGGTCCTCACTTGTTGGGTGTCCAGCTGTTATGTGCACTCTGCATTTTGGCTTGGTCTGCCCTGGCAGTGCTGCTTGGACGTGGTGACTGGGGGTAGGGTGATGAACGGGTTCAGCCATAAAAGCAATGAGGGATCAAAGAGCGTTGCTTTGTCCAACGTGTTGGAAGAGCCTGGGTTAAAGCCCCGATCCGCAATTTGGAGGTCCTATGGCGTCACGTCTCATGTGAGCTGCTGGCACATGTCTTCCACAGAGCTCCCCGGATCGCAAGGACGCCCTTCTTCTACCTCACCGGCATCGCCTTCAGCCGCGATTGCCGCGACCCGCGCCGGGGGCTCCGCTTCGACCCGGAGGATGAGGTGGCGGGGATCGACGGTGCTGAGCACTCGCGCAAATTCGATCAAAAGAGCTTCGATGAGGCTCAGACTGATGTATCTGACGTCAGTTTCGGCCAGGGGAGGGTGTTCATAGCTTTTCTCTTGCAGCATATGTAGCATAATAAGCTGTAATTATAGCATGAAGGCTCTTGGACTCTTGGACATAGCTTGAGCCGACCCAACAGCTGCTCAGCAGGATGAAATCAACGGTCTAGGGACATTTGAAGTTGTACTGGCACAGTTTCTTTGCCACGTACCTTGATATTCCGAGATACAACTTGAGCCAGACCTAAGATGCTGTTTAGTTCTGTGTGAACATGAGTGGCTTCTGTCCTATCCTTTGGCCACCTCGTAAAGTCAACTGGTTTTATCGAGCCCTTGTAGGACAGATCTCCGCCATGACGGATCTTCCAACCATCACAAAACATCACAAAACAAGTTCATACTGTCATACTGGGGTGTTGAAGGGAACTCATTGGTCAAGAGAAGAAAATACCTTGGATGTCCTGGATGCAGTCGACCCTCAAGTGGCAGATAGTGGGAAATGGCCGCTACGATTTTTAGAGGGACGCTCAAAGTTAAACCGCGGGAATTGCCAGGTTCAACCCTCCAGAGAAGATGCCTCTTGTGTCGGTTTGCTTTTGAACATGGAGTGCATGATCAAAAGGCTTCGTTTTGGGTGACCCTTGTGATCCTCCAAACCCTGAAACCTCAAGATTGCAATTTTGTCCAGCACAATTCCTTGCAGCAGGTCCAGAGAGGTTCTTTCATTCTCCCGTCAGCCTCGGCACATCGGGTTCCGTAGTCTTTTTCTGGCTTAAAGCACGCGGATTCTAGCAGCTCCAATAAGATGGGAAGAATCCACTCTGACCCAGAGGAGCTCTCCACATCTCTCGACAGTTCTCTCGACATCTCTCGATTTTCACCCACATTTGGATGTATATATAGTTCCAAGGCCTCTTCAATCCCTCAGGGCACCGGTTGCGCTCCGTGGATGCCCGGCTGTGCCCCGTCCGAGGACGTGGAGTCCGTGGATTCCCGCGCCTCGCGCGAGACCGAATGACGAGTCCAGGTCCCGCGCCTCGCGCGGAGCAGCTGAAGTCCGGGCGGTTCAGCTGGAGACAGGGACCGAGTCGGACAGAGTGAAGAGAATGAGTTGGAAGAATTCCAGAGTGCTTGAAAGCAAGAGGAGTCCAACAGGAGTGGTTCAGATTCAAACCTGGTATACACTGATTATACACTGTTCACGTTGGAAAGAGATGCTCGAATTCCATTGTGCTGCAGGAATTTCAGCCATAGAAGAAACACAGTTAGGTTGCATAGGATAGATCGATCTTCTGACGATCATATTATATCATATTGATTGATTTGGACAAAATCGTGCGTTGGCAAGTTGCTGTTCAAGATACATGTTGCCCAGTCCCTTCGCTTTGGAATCCTATGAGATGAATGGGAATCCTAGTTCTCCTCTCCGCCAGCCTCCCGGAATCATATAGGGAGGGGTATTTATTTTTGGAATTTTTTTTGTTTCTTTTTTGGAATCTTTTTTGTTTTTCGTGGCTTCTGGCTTCTGGCTTCTGTGGCTTCTGGCTTTTGTGGTTTTTGGCTTCTGTGGCTTCTGTATCTGTCTATACCTATCTATTTATCTTTCTTTGATTCTTTCTTTTGGCAGCTGTTCTCCTTTCTCTTTTGTTATTTGCTTTTCCTGTTGTTTTCGTTGCAGAGACGAAACAAGCAAGCAAGCAAGCAAGCACGAGCTGCTCACCTTTGGATCTGGTGTGCTGCTGGGGGGGGGGCGGCCCCCCCCCCCCCACCCCCACCCGCGCCACGAAATCTGCACTTCATCCCCGACACCCGCGCCTGCCACGAAATCAATATTTTAAGGTGAACTCCCCGGTGCAAAACTTTCTAACCAAGCAAATATGCCTCCTCTATCTATCTATCTATCTAATCTTATCTTATCTTATCTTATCTAATCTAACCTAATCTAATCTATTCTATCTATCTATCTATCAATTTATCTTTCTATCTTTCTATCTTTCTGCAGTTCAACATCCACAAAGTACTGCACCTGCCACGAATCTGCACTTCAAGGTCCACAAAGTCTTGCGCCTGCCACGAAATCTGCACTCCAAGGCCCACAAAGTCCTGCACCTGCCACCAACTCGACTCTACACTTCCACACCCACAAAGTCCTGCATCTGCCACGAAATCTGCACTTCAAGGTCCACAAAGTCCTGCGCCTGCCACAAAATCTGCACTCCAAGGGCCACAAAGTACTACACCTGCCACGAAATCTGCACTTCAAGGCCCACAAAAAGTCCTGCGCCTGCCACAAACTCTGCACTCCAAGGCCCACAAAGTCCTGCACCTGCCACGAAATGTGCTTTGCAAGGTCCACAAAGTACTGCACCTGCCACGAAACACGAAAAACAAAAAAAA